TCCTGTCCTCCAAAGTCCTCCTTCCAAGGCCTCCTGCTGTATATCTAACTACATACCCAAGAGGCTTAGAAACTTGGTTTTCGTTTTTTAAAAGGTTAAGATTTTGGAGAAATGGATTCATGAGGTTTTCTGAAAACTCATTTAGGATGATCAAGAGGGTGATCTTGGACAGAGATCCTTCTTCATAGTGCCACTCAAGTTGTAAATTCCCCCTCCTCGGCAAATGTGTTCACCTGATGCTACTTCTACAGTGACCATGTGTCATACTTTACAAAGGAGATTGTTTCAATGAAACACTTTCAGTGGCTCCCATAGAATAATCTTCTGAGGTTGATTATTACTCAAATGTCTGCTCTGTCCAATCTAGTTTAACAACAACAAACATAAAAAGGGAACCTTAAATATTCCTATCAACATTAAGAATTGGGACAACACACTGAGAAGTCATTCAGGTAACATTGTCACAATCATCCTCATCATGGCATGATGTAGTATAGCCACTTTAAGTCTTACTTTGGTGAAAAGATGGGATATAATAAATTTGAGTTGCTGATGTAGTCATCATCATGGTCTTCTTGATTTCACAATCTACCAAACATTACCAGTTGGAGTTTTGGATCATCATGATTTGGATTCTATCTAGGGATCAGTGTGATATTGTTGGATAATGTGGCATGTTCGAAGCAGTGTTACTTTTTGTAATTGTCCTACTATGATCCTACCTATGGCAATTTCATGCAGATGTTTTCCCAGTCAATTTATAATTGCTTGCAGAACACCTATTGCTACTGGAATATGGTTATTACTGTTATCATTACTGCTACTATCACTACTGGATCACAGTTACAGCACTATGACATGATGGTGGTGGTGCTGGCTGTGACTAGACTTCATGATTGCAGTCATGAATGTGTAACCTTGAGTTATGCATTTGTAACTGATCCGTATTCACAATTCCTGTATACTCAATATTATAGGCAATATGTAGGGACCATAAAAGCATCCCAGTTCTGACAGCATCACAACATCTGTGAGCAATTGGGGTCTGTTCTCCTGTCAAACAGAATGCAGCAGTCTGATGTCCCACCTCTTCTGTGATTGATTTCCAGTGTGAGGAGAAATTGCAATAGGAATCCTGCTTCTGACACTGGAGATCATTCATGTGACAGTGCTTGGAAATGTCAGTCTGCTAAGTCTCAGTTGAAAGAAGAACA